AGGAGTAACAGGGTGGGGGGAAAAACGCAGGAGTAACAGGGTGGGGGGAAAAATGCAGGAGTAACAGGGTGGGGGGAAAAACGCAGGAGTAACAGGTGGGGGGAAAAACGCAGGAGTAACAGGGTGGGGGGAAAAACCCAGGAATAAAAGGGTGGGGGGAAAAACGCAGGAGTAACAGGTGGGGGGAAAAACACGGGAGTAACAGGGTGGGGGGAAAAACGCAGGAGTAACAGCGTGGGGGGAAAAACGCAGGAGTAACAGGGTGGGGGGAAAAACGCAGGAGTAACAGGTGGGGGGAAAAACATAGGAGTAACAGGGTGGGAGAAGTGTGGGTGTGGGGTCAGCTGTTTTCCTTCTCCATGTCCAATAATCTGCATGACCTTAGGTGAGTTAATCCAGCTTGTGGGCTCATGGCTAAGGATGATACTCACCTGTAGCAAAAGCATTAAAAAAAAGAAAATTCATCCTATTCGTGACCTGGAAAGAAAGACTGTTCTAGGCCAGAATAGGGAGACGGGCTGAAAAGAGGCCACAAGGGCTAGGGGACCTGTGTCACAGGCATGGGGCAGGGCATGGGGGTCACAGGCCAGCTGTTATCCCCTCCTTAGAGGCTGGGGCACTACGGGGAGGCCCAGTTGGGGGCCATGTGACAGGGTGGTCTGCTGCCTGCACGGGACAGGGCGTCCTTGGGCGAGCCAGCCCTGCTGCTCACCCCCACTCATGTGAGGCGGACAAGACCTTTCCCTAGCTGAGCTTCAGTTTCCCCCTCTGGAACAAGAAGACAGATCAGATGCACTCTGAAGCCCCTGTACCTCTGGCTCCTGGGCTCGGTGCGGGTGGGGGGGGTGTCTGTGAAAGGAAAATAAATCTTAGGACCCCCAAATCACTGAGCTAAAGGGAAAGGTCAGGCAGAGAGCTGCTTACGGCCAATCTGCTCCCATTCTATTCCAAGTCACCCCTCGGCTCGCCGAGATGGTGCACATCTGATTCCCACCTTTGGAGAGGCTAATCAGAAACTCAGAAGAGGGCAACCATTTGTCTCTCACCTGTCTCTGACCTGGACCCCTCTCCGTCTTCCTGCCTTTGCTTCAAGTTGTCCTGCCTTTCCAGACGGAACCAAGGTACTTCTTACAAATACTGATTGAGGTCTCATGTCTCCCTAAGATGTCTAACACCAAGCTGTGCCCCACCACCTTGGGCACATGTGGTCAGGACCTCCTGAGGCTGTCAGGGGTGCGTCCTCAACCTTGGCAAAACAAACTTTCTAAATTAACTGAGACCTGTCTCAGGTTTTCTGGGTTCACAGGCCCAGCCTCCCGTGTCCCCCAGCGCACCCCATGGGGCCTCACCTTCGCTTCTTCTGCAGCCAGTCCTTGACCTCCAGGTCCGGGAGCCCCATCCACTGGCCCTGGCTCAGGGTCACCATGGAGCCTTCGATGGACTGCAGGAAAAGGAACCCTTCGGTCCAGGCCTCTGCTAGCCTGAACCTATTTGGGGCTGGAGGACATGGGAGGCCTTGGCTGGGGCTGGTGGAGGGAGGGGCAGGGTTGGTGGGTGGAGAACGAGGAAAGGGGAGATGCAAGAGTCCCAGGTCCAAGTGGGGAGAACAAGGGAGACCCCCACCCCCATCAAGGCGTGCCCTTGCTGAGCCACTCACGTGCCAGGCTCCCCCGGGGAGGTTCCGGCCCAGAACCAAGTGGGGGAGGGCATGCTCCGCCTGGTGCTTCCAGGTGAGGACCGACTCCATGTTTCCCCCAAAGTCTGTGTCTGGGCGCAGGAGGGCATCAAAGAGCAGAGCCACGGGGCTTTGGCATCGGCCCTCAAGGCCTTCGGACAGGTGGTCCAGGTCCTGGAAGGGGCCATAGGTCAGAAGGGATGCTGGGGGAGGGTGGGGTTGTCTTCCCAGGGCCTCAGGCTGGGCAGGAATGTGGGGCTGGGGCTGGGCCATTTCCCTGACACTGGAGGGTCTCAGAGAGATGTGCACACTGGGGGTGCTCTGAAGCTCTCATTCTGAGGTCTTTCCAGGAGGCCAAGAGCCCCAGGGTATAGACCAAACAGGCAATCTCAGATGAGACTGCAGTGGCTGCCTGGTCCTGCATCCCTACCCTCATATCAGGGTGGTCAGATCAGCTGGGGAGGTGCTGCCTCTTAAAAGTAGATAATGCAGACCGGCATATTAAAGGCTCTCATGAGCCCTGCAGCCATCATTTACCTGTTGAGTTTTGCCGACCCCAGTGTGTCCCTGTGTTACTGGAGTGGGAACATTTTTGTGTATATTATACTGAGGAACTAGTACTCTATAGAGAGCACTTTGAAAAATGCTGATCTAGATCAATGGTGTAGAATTACGTCCTCATCCCCCACTCAGGGGTGGGAGGGGAACAGGCAGATGTACCCTGCCTGATGAGGGAGGTCGTGGGGGGGCACAGTGGAAGACAGGGGCTATGGTGGGAGGATCTGCAAGCCCTTGTGGGCAGGAGGTAGTGGGACTGAAATATCTGCGGTGGAATTTCTCGACCTTGGCCCCGCTGACATTCAAGCCACATTCTTCTTTGTAGATAGAACAAAGTCATCCACCAGTCAGTGAGGCCGAGGTTGGGAAACTCCTCCCCAGATACGTCAGTTCCACCACCCTCCCTGTCTTGTGCAGTGCTGGGCATACCAGCATCTCTGGCCTTCACCTTGCCAGAACTGGTAGCACTGCCACCCCACCATGACAACCCGCATCATCCCAGACATCGCCAGGTGTCCCTGAGGAGAAAAAGCATCCCCTCACTGAGAACCCCTGGTCTAGGACATGGTGAGCCCTCAGCCATGTGGCATCTGTGGGTCTCCGATTTCTTTCATGATCTCCGTGGCTGACTCTGTGGACTCTTGAATTCTGTTTGGTCTCAGCTTCAGCACACGCACACTTGTTTCTCCCTGGGAAAGCTTCGGAAGTTTCCCACGGGCTGTGTGTCCTCCCCAGAGCTCCGGCCCCAGGATGACCCACCTGGTCCAGGATGGAGACCCCCGGGGCCTCAGTGAGCTTCCTCTGCAGCAGGGGGTGGGGGTGGACGGCATCTGGCTTCACGTAGGGTGTGTAGCCGGAGAGCAGGTAGGACAGGCAGATGCCAGAGGGGCCATTGCCTGGGAAGAGAGGGCAGAGGTCAAAGGGGGCGGCCTTATCAGGTGGGAGAATCTACTGCTGAGGGCTTCGGTCTGGACATGGTGAATCCATTCACTGATCCTTCATTCATAAAAATAAAATATCTATTAAGCCCTTAGCCTTTGCCAGACACTATGCCTAATAATAATTTTAAAAAGAGGCCGAGCACAGTGACTTATGCCTGTAATCCCAGCACTCTGGGAGGCCGAGGTGCACAGATCACCTGAGACCAGCCTGACCAACAAGGAGAACCCTGTCTTTACTAAAAATACAAAAAAAATTAGCTGGGCATGGCAGCGCATGCCTGTAATCCCACCTACTTGGGAGGCTAAGGCAGGAGAATTGCTTGAACCCAGGAGGCAGAGGTTATGATGAGCTGAGATCACGCCACTGCACTCCAGCCTGGGTGACAGAGTGAGCCTCCGTCTCAGAAAAAGAAAAAAGAATAATTTAAAAAAGAATGAGCAACTGCTGAGAGCTTCCTGTTTGCCGGGAATTGTACTGAGACTTCAGCAGCACCACAACAGCTTTAGTGAGGTAACTGCTGCTCTTTTCCTTCCTATACTTGAGGAAATGGGCACAGAGAGGTTAAGTAACTTGCCTGTGGTCCCACAGCTGGCAGGTAAATAAGGTGGGATTCAAATCCAGACAGAGGGAACCCCTGATGACACAACTGAGATTCTGAGATCTCAGAACTAGGTCAGATGGACGAGTGAACGCAGCACAGATGGCTACGTGGCCTGGGGGCGAGCTTGGGTGGTGGGTGCTCGTGGGCGTTCAGGGGCGCCGAGCCACCTGTTGGGTCTGCTGCTTGCACGTCTGAAGAGCCGCGCCGCCATCTGTGGCGCTTCCTGGGCAATTCACCAGGCCCAGCCCTGCGGTAGCTCTTCCCTTTTTGTCTGCCCTTTCCCTCTGCTTATCTCCTCTGATTCGGAATATTACTCATACGTAGGATACCAGGAGGAAGCTATGAAATCGCAGACGGCCATCTGTTTTTGCTTTACAGAAATGACCGTCTCACGTGGCCGAATTGGACGCCTGCATTCTTGGGGGTCGTCTGTCCTCATTTTTACAGACAGGACAGGAATAATAAGCCCTGCTGTGTCCTCTCGTGTGGGCCCCTAGTACAGTGCTGGCCACAGGGTAGTCATGGGGCCAGTGCGGGCTCAGGACCAGGCCTTCCCTGCCCCACACTGGGTCGCCTCCAGCTGATGGCTGTGTTCTAGACCCCTGGGTTTTCGGAGGCATGAAAGGGAATGATAGTTTATAAACTGCTAAGCCCGGCACTGGCCACATAGTAAACACTCAGTGGCTTAAAGAACACTGTAAAGAGGCCAGGCCCAGGCCAGGCACGGTGGCTCATGCCTGTAATCCCAGCACTTTGGGAGGCTGAGGCAGGCAGATCACTTGAGGTCAGGAGTTCGAGACCAGCCTGGCCAACATGGCGAAACCCTGTCTCTACTAAAAATACAAAAATGAGCCGGGCCTAGTGGTGGGCACCTGTAATGCCAGCTACTTCGGAGGCTGAGGCAGGAGAACTGCTTGAGCCTGGGAGGCGGAGGTAAGCCAAGATCACACCACTGCACTCCAGCCTGAGCGACAGAATGAAACTTTGTCTCAAAAAAACAAAGAACCCAAAATACAAAAAAAAAGAGGCCAGGCCTGGACTTGCCCAGCTCCTGCCCTCAGACCCGGGGTGAGGGTACCTGGAAGGCTCAGTGGTGCCCCTCTGAGGCTGGGGCCTGACACTCACCCACGATGATGACCGGGAGGGGCTCTGAGCGGCTGGCGCCGAGGTGGTCCTTTCTGGAAGAGCTCATGGCTATGGCTGGTGGGGTGCTTGGGGCTGGCAGCAGACCTGGAGTAGGGGAGAGGGGAGGAAGAGCCCTTTTGGGTGAGGCTTGGGTGTCACATGGCCACGTCATTTCCCAGCTATCGTGGCCTCCTATGGCCCCCAGGGTCTAGCCCGGGGTCCCCCTGAGGCATACTAATCAGGACTCACTTCCTGCTTACGCGCAGCCTCTGCTCCAAACAGGCCAACTGCCCCACCCTTCCCCAGTCACACAGGACATGGCCTCCGGTCCTTGGGCCTGGTCGCCCCAGGCAGCCACTGTCCCTCCGAGCCTCACTCTACTCTCCCATCTCATTGTGGGACGGGGGGGCAACAGTCCCCGAAGCTTGTTCTCTGTCTTCCCAAGAGGCCGTTCCTGCCCAACCCAGGAACAAGCCCAGCTGGCCCTTCTGTGGGCCACAGCCCTTGAGTACCAGCATGGCCTGGTAGACTTTGGAGTCGTCACCTGACCCTGGCAAGTGGCTTCCCATCTGCTGACCGTGGCCCATCCCTGGGCCTCTCTGGGTTTCAGTTTCCTCACCTGTAAAATGGAAGCAATGAGTCCCTACCTCCTAGGGTAGTTGTGGGACACAGTGGGGTTACAGGCGGGAAGCACCTGCCTGGAGTGAATTTGCCACGGGGACTGAGCAGCGCTATGGCCTGCTCCAGGGGCTGGGCTGGACTTGGGGAAACGGAAGCAGCGGCCACGTTTGGGGACGTGCCAGCGAATCTGCCATCTCTGGGGCAGCCGCGCCCTCTGCTGGCCCCACACCCAATTCGCTCAAAGGGACTCAGGTGCTGGTCCTAGAGCTGCCGGTGCCCAGAGGGGCATCAGACCCCCACTTCTCCCCCACACCAGCCAGCAGCGGACACTGGCCTCACCTGAGGGCCACATGCTGCCGTCCTGAGGGCCACAAGGCCACACCCTTGTGGGCACAGGGATGGTGAGTATGTGGCACTGGCTCTGTGCCGGGTATCTGACATGCTTTTTCTTAGGGACACCTCACACTGACCCTGTGCAGAGTCCTGGCCATGTTATTTTCCCACTTCACACATGCGTAAACGGGGCTCAAAGAGGTCGCACAAGCTTCTCAGCGTCACACACCCGACTTGGAAACCCAGGGCCTGTCAGTGACACCACCCACGCCACAGCCTCAGGGTCGTCTGCCTCCAGAATTCTTCCAGAGAAGGTAGGAATCTGGATTTCTATGTTAATTCTCTGATTTGAAAAAGTGAGCAATGAATGAATGTGCAATTTTGGAAGATCCTTAACAGGCCAAACACAGTTGAGACCAGCGTGTGACCTCTGATGTGTGCAGAGTGGCAGAAACATCATTGTCCACCTCCAGGCAGGCCCCAAGGAGATGGACGAGAGACTGCCGTGTAGATGGGCCACTGAGAGGAACTGAGTGTCGCCCCCACAGTGACAACAAGTGACCTTCCCACAGCACTCTGCAGTTTGCATGGAGGCTGCACCTAAGCAGTGGCATCCAGCCCGCTCAGCAGCCTGGAGAGGTGAGCCCTGGCACCTCTGTCTTGCAGGTGTGGAGAAGGAGGCTCCAAGGGCGAGGATGTGCCCAGCGAAAAAGGGGTCTGTCAGGGACCCCCGTGTGGATGCCCTCCGCTCCCCTGAGCACACCCTTGCCTCTGCTGGTTGGGAGCCAGGGACAGCTTCCGTGTCCTGTCGAGGCAAGCCCGTGTGCCCAGCACCCAAGACCTCCTCCTCTTTTCCTGGAAAGAAGGCAAGTGACATCCTGCAGTCGCCAGGCACCACATGGCATCTTCCTGCCAGCTCCCTGCAAGGCCCCTGGCTGCCTGCCTGGGGAGGGGATTTCAGGGTGACATTGCCACCCATTATCATAATAGTAAGAGTCACAAGACCAACAAAGACAACAGGTGGCTGACACTTCCATACCTCTGTGGAGTGGGCTGGGTGCCAGGCATGATCTCCACACTGAAAACACATTACCAAATGGAATCCTTATGTAATCGGGTTGTTGTACGCACTCCAAGAGCCAGAGAGTTTCTCACGGCCCTGTACGGTTGGCAATGGGTTGCCCCAGCTCTAGCAGGCTGGGCTGGATTGGAGCGCAGGCCGCCCGCTCCAGAGCCTTCTCTGTGGCCCAAGTGCTGTGACAGCTCCTGCTAAGGCCCCTCTGATGGGTGGAACATGCAGTGTCCGTTCCAGGGTGCCCCACAGCTCTGTCAAGGTGCTAGTGGCAGGCGGGGAGATAGAGGGGCAGCTGATGACCCAGTGTTCTGGCCGGGAGGGGATCATTTCTCACTGACCCTGGGCGCTAGGTATACCCAGAGGCCTTGGAGGACAGGACTGCGGTTCCCAGAGCGCTCACTCCTGGTACCTTTGAATGGCCCCAAGCCCCTCGATCCTCATCACAGTCCCCAGGAACAGCAGTCACTGGGAAGCATGGGACCTCCTGGTAAAGTGCTTTCCCGAATCACCTCCTTTGACCTTCCTAGCAGCCCACTTTGCTGATGAGGAGACTGAGGCTTGGAGAGGTGAAGCCATGAGGCTACAGAGCTGGTGGGTGATGGAACCAAAATCTGATCCCCATGGGCTGACCCCCTAGACACCCCCAGACCTTCCCTAAACGAGTGAGCCAACCTGCTCCGTCTGCCCCAGTGCGCCCACCCTGGGCCATGCTTTGCTCCTCCCTTGTTCTTTTGCATTCTCCCACCACCCGAGGAGGGCACTTGCAGGAGCCCCTGTTGGTCAATGAGGAATCAGAACTGGCTGCTCCTTATCACCCTTTGCAGGCAGCAGAGTTCCCGCCAGGGCTTTGGGACTTCAAGTCCAGTGCTCCCTCCTGTGACTGTTCTCAGGCACTTGAACAGAAGCTTCTGGATGCCACATACATGAGGTCACCACCCAGGGGCTGGACCTGAGAAGTCACTTCCTGTGTAGAGAGACACAGGACGCCCCAAGTCCCGAGCAGCTTGAAGCTGTCACTCATGACCCTGAAAAAATATGACGTCAACTTACAAAAGAGTGTGCAAAAGTTTCATTTCGTTTTATGTTTTTTCGTTTTATGGAGTTGGAAGAATCAATTTTTAATGTTATGTTTTTAAGTCCCTTTGACCGAAGATGGCAGATGTTGATGAAAAAAAGTTAACATTAAAAATTGGCCGGGCACGGTGGCTCAAGCCTGTAATCCCAGCACTTTGGGAGGCCGAGGCGGGTGGATCACGAGGTCAGGAGATCGAGACCATCCTGGTCAACATGGTGAAACCCCGTCTCTACTAAAAATACAAAAAAAAAACATCAGCTGGGCATGGTGGCGCATGCCTGTAATCCCAGCTACTGAGGAGGTTGAGGCAGGAGAATTGCCTGAACCCAGGAGACGGAGGTTGCGGTGAGCCGAGATCGCGCCATCGCACTCCAGACTGGGTAACAAGAGTGAAACTCCGTCTCAAAAAAAAAAAAAAAACATTAAAAATTGATGTTTCCAACTTCACAAAGGCAAATAGGATAAAAGACATGAAAACAGTTGCACCTTTGGTTGACGTTTCTTTTACGTCTGTAGCATGTGTACTTCTGAGGTTGTTAAAGCTGCAAACTGCTCTCAGACTCTGGGACACCTGTATGTCTGCATTTCTTTGGCACCTCTAGTGGCCATTTACTCATTTGCCTTAGAAGACAACCCAAGAGGTGGGGTTTTTTTTTTAATCCCCACCGTGCAGAGGGAGAAACGCAGGTCAGGAGGAACAGGCATCTTGCCCCAGGCCACCTGGGAGTGTCCAAGACCACGCTCATGCGAACAAATCTTAGTTCTGCTCAATCCCCTCCAGTAAAACAGCCGATTACAGGGAGACCAAGGGCATGAAGCCCCCCCCGGGGGGGGCTAGGTGTGAGGAGGTGGTCTGTCCACGCAAGCGTCTCTTGCCATTTATTACAGCTGAGCCCTCACCCCAGTGCCACAAACCTGGAGCCCAGGATCTCCTGCAGCTCCCCAGCCTCGCAGGGGCTGCCCTCCCTACCTACCACACTCTTGAACCTCCAGAGAGAAGCTAAGTCCCTGGGGCCTCCCGGGGTAGGGGCTGTTCATAGGCACCCACGGGCTCTGTCCCTCCTGAGCAGGAGAAGCAGAAACCCTGAGGGCACCCAGCCTGGCTGCCAACCCAGTGGACTTGGGACAGCCAGGCAGCAGGCCAGGGCTGGCCACACCCCTTTTTATTGCTAGGGGCCAAGGTCACGTGTGCCAGGGTTCGCGGGGACTGTGGCTGCTCAGCTGCTCCGCTGAGTGTGCCAGTCACCTGGACAGGGATATGGCTGAGGATCTGGGAGGAACCTGGGGTAGGGGAGAATCCTGCTGGGCTCCCGAGAATTTAGCGAAGGGCCTCTACTCAGGACCAGCCGGGACCCCTGCCTGGCTCTGGGGCTCCGCAGACCCTCTAGTCCAGCTGGGCTGGCCGCTTGTGCCTGGGATGTGCCTGATTCCCTGTCCCGGAACCTGGCCCCTGACACTCACCTGACAGGCAGTGGTGCAGCAGCTCAGTGAGCCCAGCCAGCTTGTGCACTAGGAGGGCCAGGGGATCACGGATCACAGGGTCGGCCTCGAGACTGGAATGCCCATTACCCCGTAGGGATCCAAGAGGCTCTGAGAGGCCGGGGGGAAGTGAGGGTATTTCACTGGGAGGGAAGAGGCTGTGCAGGCAGTGGGCGGGGCCAGGAAAATCACTTTCATAAGCGTGAGTCAGCAGGGGCCGTGATGAATGAACTGCACTGGGCGGGTGTCACGTTGCCTGCCCCATGGCCAGCCTTAAAGGGCCCCTGCTGGGCAGCCTGCCAGGGGGCCTAGGGTGGCGCTCCCCCACACATCCCCCCAGCCAGACCCCCATACCTGGGGCTCAGTCCCTGGAGGAGGAAGCTGTGACCTCTGAATGAACCAGCCTGGCCTTTGCCACAAGGGAGGAAGAGATGGCTTTGCACCTCACACACTTAATGTGACAGCCCCTTTAAGTGGTGAAAACCCACCCAGTTCCCTCGTTCCACCTGCATTATACTTCACCCTCCAATCCCCAAAGCCCTCTGGTACAAGCCTGCCTGGATTGAGAATCCAGCTTTGCCACTTCCTGGCTGCAGGGCTCTGGCAAGCTGCCTTAGGACCGACACCTTGGCTTCCTCATCTGAAAACTGGGGCCAAGTCACAGATTCTCTCTGCCAGAGTGGCTGTGAGGGTTTAATGGCATCCTTCTCGGCTGCCATGCTTACAGCCTGAAGCCTGCTCGCTGGCTCTTCTCTCCGGTTTTGTGTGGGGAGCACACCCCACGCCTTGCTGCTTCATTACTATTATTAATTTGAGACGGAGTTTCGCTCATTTCCCCGGTAGGAGTGCAGTGGCGCCATCTCAGCTCACTGCAACCTCCACCTCCAGAGCTCAAGCGATTCCCCTGCCTCAGCCTTCTGAGTAGATGGGATTACAGGAATGCACCACCATGCCCGGCTAATTTGTATTTTTAGTAGAGACAGGGTTTCACCACATTGGTCAGGCTGGTCTTGAACTCCTGACCCCAGGCGATCCACCCGCCAGGGATTACAGGTGTGAGACACCACACCCAGCTTGTTTCTGAACTACTTTTTTGTCTCTCCTCCCAAACCAGAACGTGAGCTCTGTGTGGGCCGGATGGTGTATTCATGGCGGCTTTATCCCCTGTCAAGAATAGGGCTTAGCTATCACATAGTAAGTGCTCAGTAAGGCAGACAGTGAGAGAGGGAGGGAGGGAGGAGGCTGACGCAGTGCACACACAGACCTCAGTGTACATTCACTGTTATTTTCAGCGTTGATGTTGTTTTCACCCCTGTCCTCCCATCTGCAACCTTGCAGGGGTGGGGAATGGGGCACACCTTTGGGTGGAAACTTTAAGAGGGAACCCAAACCAGTAAACTAAAAAATAACATTTTGAGGCAATTTTACTAAAAAACCTAAATTAATGCAAAAAAGCCAGGATAAATACAGACAGGATCCAGAACAGTGCCTGGAGGCTGATGCAAAGAGAACCGGCACTTCCAGTGCTATCTGTGTGTTTAATAAAAGTTTGCTCTTTTATTCATTCTGGATTTTTTTCATGAATTTCTACTTGTAAGAACACTGATAGACGTATTATGTATCATGGTGATGGGGGTGCTTTGGTACCCCTGAAATTTTGTGCCTGAGGTCGTGCCTCACCCTCCTCACCCTAGTTCTGGCCCTAGTGGTCACAGCCCTGCCCTGAAGTTATGCACAGCCTGGAAACCACAGCTCCGGGCCTGGAGCACCTGCTGGCAGGGGCTGGGCCTGGGGCTGGGTCCTGCTGAAAAACACCTCTGAGGAGGTGAGAGTAGCAGGACCCTACAGAGGGCTGGAGAGAGAGAGGGAGAGAGAGGGAGAGAGAGAGATCGTGTGTGCATGTGTGTGCCACTGCTGGCATTAAGGGAAGGCCTGATGGCTGGGGGTGAGCACTCAAAGGGTTTAGGGAGCAGAATGAGAAGCTGGGATGGAAAAGGATGAGGGAAGAGCTTGGGCACAGCTGGGGCCATGTGGGCGGAGGGCCTGGAGGGCTGGGGAGAGGAGCCAGGCCTTAGCTGGGCCTCTGCTTCCCTGGGTAACCTGTGCCCAGGGCCCTGTGATCAGCAGAGCTCAGAGTTTGGTTTAATGCTCTGCTGCCACTACCTTAAAATTCTTATTTTGAATATGAATGTCCTGAATTTCCACTGTGTACTAGGCCCCCCAAATCACATGATGGGTCCGGCCTGGGGCTGCACCGGGCATGAGGCTGGCTAGGTGGGAGCTGTCCGTGGGTTCAGCTCTGGCAGGCTGGGTAGGCTTTGGTGAGACATCGTCCCCTCAGCCTCAGTTTTACCCAGGGGAAATGAGCCCTCATAGTCCTTTCCTCCTGGAGCCCTTGGCAGCACTGCCCCACAGAGGAAAGGTGACACGGGACATCGTGGAGGGGTAGCAGGAAGCCCCTTGCTCTGGGCCTCAGCTCCTGGCCAGTGTCTAGCCCCGCCTCAGGTGTGCGGTGTGACCTGGGATGGGACACCACCCTCTCTGGGCCTCTGTTCTGGCTGTGGCCTTGTGACCAACACTCTGTGACACTCTGAATGTGCCGGTCCGACATGCCAGGACCTAGACAGGGGTTTTGAACATGAGGGCAGGGAGGGGTGCAGCTGCGGCCCACGTACCTCCCGTCTGCTCTGTGTGTTTCTCTGGCAGCAGCCTCTCGGTCTCCACTTCTCCATCCCACGGCGCCTGGTCTGCAGCTTCCCAGTGGTTTTGGATGTGTAAACTGAGGCAGAGAAAGACATGCACCCAGGATCAGAGACCTCCACCCCAGAGTGCTCAACTCCTTAGGGCTGAGGCCTGAGGAGGCCTGAGGCTGGGGCTCTGGAGGGGAGACCCAGGAAGGAGGTGGGCTTCCCTTGGACCCCTTCTCCTGTGCTTAGCCTGGCTTTCCTCCCAAGCTGCCCCGCCCCAGCTGGCCCTGACCTCATTCTAGAATTTGGAAATTTGCTGACATGGAGAACTGTCGGGGTAGCTGTGGACTTTCTTCCCTGCCATCTTGTTTACCTGCTGGGTGATTATCGGAAACAGAATTGTTGAGTTTCTTCCAGAAATGTTGACTAAGATAACGGCAGATACTGTTAAAGGCAGGCAAAAGGGCGATGGGTAGAGGGGCTACGGAGAAGGGGGGAGCCTGATGGGTCTTTGCTGGCTGACTCGAGGGGGCCGGCTGTCTTGGGTGCCAGTGGGTGGCCCTGGTTCCTCCGGAACGGCCCTACGCTCTTTGAGCCCGTGAGTTCAAGTGCCTATTAAGAGCTTGCGACGTGATCCTCCAAATTCAGCCATGCTCACAGTAGGCTGCCAGAAGCAGCAAATGAAAATACAGGTTCCAGGGACACATTTGAATTTCAGATAGATAGGAAACAAACTTTCAGTCTATCTTCAATATTGCACGTGACATACTTAAAGTTCCTGTTTATCTGAAATTCAGATTTCCCTCGCAGCCCGTATGTTATTTGCCAACTCTAGTTGTAAATGCAAAATATACACCAGAATTAAAAGAATTAGTACCAAAAAGGTGAAATGTCTCATTCATAATTTTTATATGGATTACATGTTGCAATGAAAATAAGGAAAATATCTGACATAGCGGGCTAGATAGATTAGTAAAATTAGGCTGGGCACGGTGGCTCACGCCTGTAATTCCAGCACTTCGGAAGCCTGAGGCGGGCAGATCACCTAAGGTCAGGAGTTTGAGACCAGCCTGGCCAGTATGGCGAAACCCTGTCTCTACTAAAAATACAAACATTACTCGGGCATGGTGACGGGCGCCTATAATCCCAGTTACATGGGAGGCTGAGGCAGGAGACTCGCTTGAACCTGGGAAGCGGAGGCTGCAGTGAGCCAAGATCACGCCACTGCACTTCAGCCTGGGTGACAGAGCGAGACTCCGTCTTCAAGAAAAAAAAAGAGAATATATTATTAAAATTAATTTCACCCATCTCTTTTTATTTTAACTTGGCTACTGGGATATTTGAGGGCACACATGTGGCTCTCATTGGGTCTCTGTTGGACACTGCTGCTCTGGACTTCGGCACTGTTGCTAACAGAAGCTGGGGCTTTCCAGGGTTTCTCTCTGAAAGCCCCGCTCTGTCCCAGAACCCCCAGGCCTGGGTAAACCAGGACAGTTGGTCACCCTGCAGCACTGCAAGTGCCTGGGAGGATAGTGTGGCCAGGAGAAGTACTTTCCTTCTGAGCCTCAGTTTCCCCATTCGTGCACTGCTCCTGCCAATGTGGGGTGTTGGGGTGGTGGTAGCTGATCTTGTAGGCTGAAGGAAGGGGCCTGGCACTGAGACAGAGCTCACCCATAGCCACCCCTGGAGCTGGATGGCAGGCCCCTCCCCAGGCCTTTCCCAGCCCCCCTGCAGGCTGCGCAGGAGCTGAGAAGCCAGGGGAGAAGTGGGTAGGGGTGGCCTCAGGATGCATCCCTGGTGGTCTTAGCATCAAAATGGATGCTGTACCCCTATTGGAAAACCACCATTCCTCTCTGCCTAAGAAATCCCAGGGCCATTCTCCACCACCATCATCTCCATCATTGCCATCACCACCATCATTCAAAAGGGCCTCTCTGGACTCCTACTCATCCCTCCCCGCCTCTGTTTCCTGCCTCCCTTTTCCTCAACCAGTGGATCCCACAGCTCTGCCATTTCTGGGCCCCGGGAGGCACTGGGCACTCTGGACACAGCTGAGGCTCAGAGAGGTTGATCTCAAGCCTGAGGCCACACAGCGTGAGTGGCAGAGCCAAGGCTCGAACCCAGCTGCAGAGCTGGGCACCTCCAGGAAAAGACGTATGTAGAAAAGGAATAAAGGAAGCCTCCTTCTTGCCTCAGGTGCAAAGGCTCGGGTCCAGAAACTCAGCCATGTTCACCGTGCCATGGCCTGCAGGTCCTGAAGGGCCTGCCCATCTCCACAGCTGCCCACACTGTGGGTGCATTTCAGGGACCCATGCTTTAGACCTGCACAGCAGCCCAGCGAGGCGGGCGCGGTGGTATTATTATTCCCATGTTACGGTGAGGAAACGAAGGCCCTGAGAGTGTAAGCTGTGGTCCCAGTCACGGTCAATGGCAGAGCTGCGGCTGTCCCCTGTCCTGCCCGGAGCTCTGGCCCTTC